AAAAAGAAAGGGAAAAAAAAGACATTTTGCACGAGGCACTGCAGCTTCAAGAGAATAATTAAGGGTATTAAAGTAATTTCCAATTAATTATTTAATTTCTATTTTTTTGGTATTCAACTAAGCAAAAGTTAGTATTCAAAATAGTTGCCCCCTTTAGCATAAGGTATTATTAAGGGTGAAAGTCGGATGGATCGGATCGGAATAAGCTTTTTCAGAAAATTTCCAAAAAAAAATCGGAAATACAAAATCAATTCCAATTCCAATTCCAAAATTTTCGTCATCTAAAAATTCATTCCAATTCCAAAAGGCCCGAAAATTTCGGAATTTCGGAAAAAGATCGAAAATCACATAAGCTTCAAAATTTCAAAATTTAGCCGAGATTTTCTAAAATGTTCATAATATTTCAAAAATAAGAACATCCACGTCGATAAAAGTAAAACTAATAACTATTAAATTCAGTAAAAAAAATAAATAAAAATAAACACAACATAATATCCAATAAAACTTCTAACAACAATTCATTACGTCAAAATCCTAAAACAAAACTTACATTTGTATTTTTCGGAAAAATAAGTATTATATAATATATATTATTTATAGGTGTATTTTTCGGAAAAAAACGGATTATTTCGGAATTAATTCCGGAATTAAATCGGATCGAAAATCGGAAATTCCAAATTTATTTTATATAATTCCAATTCCAATCCAAAAAAATTGAAAATATTCGAAAATCGAAATTTTGGAAGTCGGAATGAAAAAAATTGTTCCAAAATCAAAACTTTTCGGATCAGAACCGGCGGAAATTGGAAATTCCATTCCAACTTGCACCCCTAGGTATAATAGAAGACTGTACACATTTTCTGTTAAAAAACTCGATCAACAGTTAATCAGAGGGGGATTTTGGTTATTACGGATAGGTGGGATTGTTTTTTGTTATGTAGCCTAAGTTCATGGGGGTTTTCGTAATTTACCAAAAATAAAAAGAGAGAATAGGACAGCATGCAGTAATATAAAGTCATTAACTAAGCAAACACATGCGATGTCATATGCATATTTCCAAATGTCGTAATATTCGACAAAATACCGATGAATGAACAATATCTAAATTCCCAAGTTCATGGGTTGTACATCAATTCACAGCAAGCTCTCCATATAAGAACATAACAAGATTGCTCATGGCAAACTCCAATCTTCAGTTTCTGTGCAAACTAGAACCACTTGGGAGAATTCTGCATGCGTAGAAAAAGATTGCTGAACCGTTGCAAATACAAGTTTACCCATTTAGCTCAACCGATTAAACCCCACTTGGTTGCATGACAACTAGTGGCATAACACTCGATAAACAGAAATTAAAAATATGATACCAGTTACATTTAACAAATTAATTCAAATGAAAAATTTCCGTGTTGTCGTATAAGCTCAGAATATAAGTTTGGGTAAAGCTAGATGTTGCACCTGACAGTAGAGATTAATAACTAGAGCATCTTCACTTCTTATCTTCATCTTTCGAACCCTTGTCTTCATCCTCTTTCTGCTCGAAAAATACATATTAAAAATCAAGATTTGGAAATCTAAGGTATAACAGTAATCAATTTATTATATCATTTTGTTGCCACTTCTGGTATAAAAAAAAATAATAATTAATAGTACGGAATATTATAATACTCAATTGTTTCATAATTCCCAGAACAGCACAATAAATAGCATCTGCTTCAGCATCTTTTTTCAAGGTTCTTATACAACTAAAACTATGAAACAGCATATAACGTGAAGGCATTTTCAGACAGAATTGCGAAAGCAGCATTAAGGAAAAAGATATTACGTCAAGGTCGAAATGCTACAAGTTAAAAAAAAAAAAAAAAAAAATTGCTTGTATGAATATCAACGATTTAACTAACCTCAGACTGATTCTGCATGGAAGCAAGTAAATCTTTCACATGCGGGTCATTTGGATCGACTCCCGGAAGCTGTTAAGCAAATCAACCATATTATTAGAAACATTAGGGAGTACTAATTTAGTGTTTTTCCATTTCGTCTTTTGTATAACTCAAACTAAAGAGAGTGAATGAATTAGAATAGTAAACTTACTGAAGCCAGGATGGAAGACACAAAAGATTGGTCTGCCAAAAGTTTGTTCACATCTGTCTGGTTCGATTGATCTACTGCACGGTCTTCTACAGACAACTGAAGGGCTACAAGCACCATCACAGAGAATTGTATCAAAAGAATGAATTAGGGTACAGGTGATTCCTTAAATATTTTTGGCAACTAAGAGACGAATCGGGTGACAAGATATAACAGTAAATATTTATATGTAAGATGAAGACCCTGGATATCATCTAATCAAAATAGCCAATCAAAATATGGATATGCCATGCAAGAACATAATATTTGAAAAATAAAAACAAACCCTTCAAATAAGAGTTTGATTGCATTGCATTCTGAAACTTACATTTGGAGTTGGAAAAAGAATAAGTAAAAACTGAAGAACATGTTTTGACTAGAAATTTATTAGTTCTAGTTCAGATATATCAGTTCTACTTCAAGAAAATAAAAACATCTTGCTGAAAATATATTATCCAGGAATATTTGATTTATTTTTATGTGTTATGAATAGTTACAGCAATTCCACATTTATCGGGATTGCACCAGATTTCAAATAACTGTAATTGGGGTTTCCATTTTTTCCTTCTTATTTTGGTTGTAATCGTCTTTTTCAGATAACATTGGTTCTTTGACCAAAGTGCCAAGTTGGAAAAACCCATATTAAACATATATCCTAAAAGATGTTTTCCATATCCCTAAGCTTTTACCCAACTTAATTTCCATTTATCGACTTACCAAAAACTTGAATTGCACTACTGCTTTTAACCCTTCTCTTTCATTTTCGAGAAAAATGATGAGCTTTACTGCCTCGATATACCCCGTGATCAGAATAGAATCGAGAACAAGTTCTCTTCACCATGCCTCAGTGAAAGCACTATCTAAAGACAAATACTATGGCTTAGCTCATCGTTCTTTTACTATTCTTAAATTCTTGTTATCCATATTGTTCAAAGATTAGATGTAAAAAAAATTCATCTGTTAAATATGTGAACTTGTAAAACACTGTTGTGTTTGATTTCCTGTTAGCCATGTAAGTTTCACTTCCTCTTTCTATTATTCATAGCGATTGGAGTCGAAAAAATAGAACACCGCTCCTCATTTTTTTCTAAATAAGCTAAGGAAAGGACATTCTTCATTTAATTGATTGATCTATTCTGAGAAATAAATAGAAGAAAAGGAAAAAGTAAAAACAATCTCCATCTGAACAGAAAAGCATAATGTAAGCAACTCAGCTAGCTAGACAACAGATTGGACTTATAATGAGCTTAAATAAACGAAACAATACGCTAATCAAAAAATACAAACACAAAGTACTCACCGAGCTGCAAATCATGATCATCAGCAGATGCGTCTAACATGTCAGTATCCCTAACAACAGCAGAGGAGGAAGGATCGTCCATGGACATTGCCAGAGCCTGCTGTAACAATGCATTCTCATCATCCTGTAAGCAAAAAAAGAGAAGAATAAGGTTTTTGTGATGTCAGCAAATTGACGTACCAAAGAGAATAAGGATTAGCGCACAAAAACAAATCAGAAAATATTTTATTACTGAACTAATCCCAAGTGGGGTCAAGAAACAGAAAAACTCTCGAGTGGTTAATCAAACACAATTAGACATAATAGAGTCATCTTTTCTTAGGACCAGAGTATTCTCTTCGAATTTTGTTCCACCAATCGAGCAAGTAATCTTTCAGATAACCATATGAAGAACCTATGTGCCTTGCAGGTTTAAAATTTCAGACCAACAGGCAATGAAATTTCACTAAGCTTTTGGTTCCTCGTTTTCCGATTCTCCATACTTCTCCCTGAGACAGACCGCTTTAATGTCACTCAATGTATCTTATCTCGATTTTTCTAAAAGCAGCTTACAGATCTAACCAGGAAATTAGAACTACAGGTGTTCCATACAACAATTGAAATACAACACAAAAACCACTTGGAAATGAAAAGAACTTAGAATACTGGGCATTGAAGTATCACTCCCAGTTTGAAGAAAATACAAAACAACTTGATAAGTGATAAATCCAAATAAATTCGAACGCGCGAAGATGTTACATCTTATACCAGCCACTTATCAATGTTCAGAGGACATATTTATCATAAATAGCAAATGAATTATTACTGAATGTCATGGTCTTAATGTGTCCATTTAAATGCAGATAAGTATGCTTCCTTCTGTTATCTAAGACAAGGGTTAGAATGTAATATCATGAATCTACTTATATAAATATATTTTGCGGAAATCCTCTGCCTTGATGTTCACAGACTATCTTTTACGAAATGACTATGTTCCCATGAAAACTGATTCTAACCCAGTACATGAGAAAGAACACTAGAAGTCCACGAACAGAGAACACAGAGTAATGAGAAACACTTTGAAGAAGGAAGTTAGCGAAGTTAAACATCATGCATGTTTTCAGGTTCAGATACACTAAAAGAGAAATCAATTCAAATAAGGGGCCAACCATTAGATCGTTTGTCTTTTTTTCAGGTATAGAAGTTGCACTTTCAGTCATAGTTGCATCTTGTGGAGCAGACTGCCCTTCTCCGGTTTCCTGTTTAGTAGCTTCTTCGGCAGCCTTCTTTGCAGCAGCTTCTTGTCTTGCCCTCTCCTCTTCCATAGAAACTCGGAGTGCAAGAGCAAGTTCTGGATCCACATTTGGGTCCACACCAAAGTCAAGCCCGGATACTCCACCAGCTGCAGCAAAACCACTTCCTCCCTCTCCATCACCAGTAAAGATTGGGGTACTAAGAAAAAAAGGAAAAAAGAAAGTTATAAATAATAAAATAATCAATTCAATTTGAATAAAAAGAGAAATCATTTCAAAAGAAACCTGATAAGCACATCAGAAAGAGCACTTGGACCAGGAGCAACGTGAACAATATGGCTGCTGTCATTGTTATTTACCGCAGAAAGCAACGCCTCAATCTTCTCAGACTTTTCGCCATCTTCTTCGCCAAAATTTACAATATCAAGAGCTACACTGTTCTTTTTCAATTTCTTTCCAATCAACTCCAACACCTTTTTCTCATAACCAATAGGACTAAAAAACACGGGAGAGAAACGAAAAGGGCAAATAAATCAGAAAACAGGAGTAAAATAGAACAAAACACATTTAATGCATATCATAGCCGAGTGTTATACCTTCCAGCAAACAAAATTATCCTTTGTTGTTGCTTCTTGTTTTGGCGATGTTTGAGAGCCAACTGCGCGACCTGGATCCCAGCTGCCAAATTCATCTCGCCACCTATTTCTAGACCTGTACATTAACACAACGTTCATTCCGTGTTTTAACAAAAAAATACATGCAAAAGAATTTAAAGAATAAATGTGAACTACCAGTACCATAGCTACATACACGCCAATTCGACATTGATTACAAAGCTTGATATTTTTCTGTTATTTTCATTCATTCGATATTGATTAGAAAACATGATCCTCTTTGGTTTTTCCAATCATTTTACTATCAAATCACATAAGGGTTTAGGTCTTTGAGCTAAATCTTAAAAAAAAAAAAAAAAAAAAAAACAGAACAACAATCGAAAGATAATCAGATGCAAGTAAAAAAATCGAACCGTGCATGCAAGCCAATATCTTTCCAAGATCACTAGTCGGAGTGACCAAAACACGCACCCCCTTTCCAGCCATTGTCAACACTCCCACTGTATTCTCCGGATTGGACTGCAGAAAAATAGTTCAGTAAACCAATCAGAAAACCCGCAAACCAAGAAATTGTACCGTCAGAAAATAGATAACCAATCCAACACGAGACAATTAAATAAACAAAGACATAAAAAAGAAACAAAGAAGAAGAATCGAATACTTGAGTTTTAGCGCCACAAATTAGGCTAATGGCGTCGGCCTGAGCCTGAAATCGATTGGGAGGGTAATCGCCATTACGCATCCACTCCGAATTATCGATGCAGATCATCGTCGCCTAATTACATCAAAGATAAAGTGTGAGCAGCCATGGAAATGAAAAAATTGAACCCTAATTCGGAAAGGAAAAAAAATGAGTAGAAACAGAGGGCAAACCTCGAGCACCATGATTAATCGAAAGATTAATGTGAATAAAGGAAATGTTTTTGAAGAGTGAGAAGATGAAACCCTCTTGATTCGTACACTTGTGTAGGGAAGGATTTTTGAGATTTACTTGCAGAAAGGGATTCTGAAATGGTTTATAGAGAGGGGTCCGTATTTCTTTAATATTCCGCTCTTTCCTTTTTATTCACTCTTTGATTGAGATTTTTTATTTTCAAAGTCACTTCATAATATTTTTTACTTTTCCAAATAAATTCACTTCATAATAATTGAAAGTAGAGATTATAATTATTAGGGTAAATTACAACCACCCCTGATATATGATCATATTATGAAAAAAAACCCCTCATGTTGAGTAATTACAGTCATTCTTCAACTATAAATCTTCTTACATATTCACCCTTATGGTGTCAAATTCAACATAATCATCTAGATTTCGTGGAATGTGCTCTACCTTGTACTCATTTTGTGTAAAAATACAGTTTCTGATGCACCACAATCTAATACATACAAATCAAAAAACACATCTTATGATCATCTAGCTTCAAATGTGGAGCTCGAATGGGATAAAAATGAGTACAAATTGAGAATATTCCATATAATCTAGAAGATTCCACTAAATTTGAAACCGCAGGGGTAGACATGTAAGAAGATTTATAGTTGATGAGTGGCTGTAATTACTCAAATAGGAGGGGTATTTTCATAATTTGACCATATCTTAGAGGGTGGTTGTAATTTACCTTAATTATTACTAGTTATTGTTACTTTCTATTCTCAATTGAGTCGGACCTGCCAAATTACTGGACATGATTATATTTGTATATGTATCGACTCTGATTAATTGTGGATTGGGTTGAGGTTGACCATTTTATAAAACTCGACAAATTTATTAACCGAGTTGAGCTCGCAATACAAATAAAGTCTAATAAGATAAGGGAAAATTCGACAAACCCCCCTCATTAGACATGTGTAATTACAATCAGTCCAAAAAAATATCGAATTTTTAAGATAAGTCCAACATATTTTTAATTAATAAAAAATAATTAAGTTTCACTATTATACCCTTATATCAATTATTATGGAAAATCAATTATTTTTTAAGGGATTATTTTGCAGACACCCCTCATTTCCAAATTATATAGAACTAATTACCAAGCGGATTATACCTAGGGAAACCCCCCCTCATTTCGAAATATTTTGATATACCCCCCTCGACCACCCTGAAGTACCTATAATGCCCTTTTAATCACAGTCGTTTCTCTCTTTCTCTCTCAACTCCCAAATTCAAATCTCGTCTCCATATATCTCCAATCGGCGAAGTTGCTTCCCGAAGTCATAACTCTCTCCCCGATGGTCGGAATTCGATGATTTCACTACCGTTGGATTCCTTTCATCGAGCTCTTTCTTTTGGTGGTGATTTCATTCAGTTCGGAGCACTCGATTTGTTTCTGCAATTGTCTTTTAGTCGACGCATATTTCGACGACTATGGGTCTTGCCGGAGGTGTATTTTGTGTTCCGGCAGTTGGAATTTGACGGGCTACCCACTGTTGGATTTCTCTCGTCGACATCTATATTTTGATGGTAATTTCGTTCATTTTTATATTTTCATGTTTATTTTTATAATTTTTTTTCATTTATGAGAGCGGAACCTTGGGTGGTTATTAGCGGCGGCTAGGGTTTTGGTAGGAGGCGATTGGGGTGAGGAGTCACTGCTGTTTGGTTTAAACTTCGTAGCATTTCCCAGCTATAGCCTCTCTCTCTATCTCTCGATCTCGGACTGTATGTTGATTTTTGAGTGTTTTGATGTTTCTTCACTTTTTGTTGATTTGCACTAAAATAATATTTTTTTATTTTGTTTTGATTTTGCAATTGTAGCTTAATAAAAGTCATTGATCATCTCCTTGAAGGTGTTAAAAATTTGGTTGAAGTTACATCTGCTTCAAGTTACAATGTTCAACAGACTGTATGCATTACTGTACATTTTTTTTGAGTAAATTCAAGTCCATTACAAGGGGAAGTAGGGGAGGGGGGACTCGAACCCTAGACCTTTACCCTATTGGTAAAGGCTAGGTACCAACTCTCCTAATGAGGGTTGGTATATACATCACTGTACATTACTATATATTACTATATATTATGTTACAGGGGTTAATTTATAATCGAAATTTTCCCAACGTACGGCCTGATTTACGCACTAAATTAGTCAGCGCACTCAACAATTCTTCCCACAAACGTAAGGCACCATCATTGTATCAAATGAACAACAACAATCACAAGTATGCAGCGGAAATCGAACAACACAAGCAATTTACGAGCAACGCTCAACCTTTATTGATTCACTCACGAACAATACAAGGAAAGCCCTTGGTGCACACAAAGAATCCTCACAACAGATGCTAACAATTGCAATCTGAGTCCCTCTATCTGAATGGGTCGGATTTGTGCACTCAAGGGCCTATAAATACAAGGTACAATGCAGTTTACACACAAAACTGCCAAGGGACACATGCCGGCACGCAGGCCAGCCACTTGGCTCACTAATACAACATAAAGGGACGGTTTTCTAAGCTATTGATGATGCCAACCGCTCCGCAACTGCCTTCATTAACTTCCCGAGTCAATTAGCTGCCCGGCTTGCCTAATCGGCGCACACGCGCACCAAGGATCGAATCCGCCCGCACGCGTGCTATTCAGCCCGCTTGCCTTGCCCACACTTGCCATGCCTTGCTCGGCCAAGCACCTCAATGCTTTCCAATCACTCGAAACCCTTGCCTTATAATTCTCGGCCAAGCACCTCAATACTTGCCCAACTCTCGACCACCGTTTGGCCCATGTGTAGCTTGCCTTGTGCCAACACTTCTTGGCACCATTTCAACTATAACTCGGCCACACTCGAGTTATAGTCGATATCACCGTCTAAGGGGGTAACATATTACTATACATTACTAGTTACATACAGTAACATGTAGTTATATATGCATATATTTGTGTATTTTGTATTTGTATTTTATTGGTTTTGAGGTGATTTATAATAAAAATATTGAAATTCGTATATTTTTTTTGTTGGGCTTTATGAATTCCTTTTGTATAAGCCAGTATTCGTGTGTGTTTTCGTTTGGTCGACGAAAAATCTGGGGTAAAAAACCTATCAGCGCCCCGACCAGATATCGCGGATTGCAGTTACTGGTAGTCACGCTCCGTTTTTGCCAGTCCCGCAAGCACATCGAGGTGAGCGCTAGAATCTGAAATTAAATCAAATTCGATCTAATTAGAGATACGTATACATGCTACTGACGCGTGTGTGTGGCACAAATACGGATCA